CGGGGCGGCGGGGCGCCGGGAGAGGCGGCCCGGCGCGGAGAGCAGCCCCGCGGGCGGCGGGTGGGCACCGGGCTGCGGCGAGGGCGGCTGCGGCGGGGGGCGGCCGGGCAGCGCGGGGGATTTGGGGGGCGCGGGCGGCGGCTTGGCGGCGGCGCGGGCGTGCAGGTCCTTGAGGAAGGGTCTGGCGGGCGACGGGGCGCGGTGCGGCCGCTTCTTCTCGGCGTGCGGGTGGAGGTGGGCGGGCGGCGGGCGCAGCGCCTCACCGGCCCCGTTCAGCGCCTCCATGGGGGCTGCCGGCGGTGGGGGCTGCGCAGCGCGGCGGCGGCTCGGGCAGCCTCCTGCAGCCTCCCCGCTCGCTTTCTCATCACTTCTGCTGCTCCCTGCCACAGCCCTCACACTTTCCTCGCTCGATCCCCTTCTTCCTGCCCTCCCCCCCCACCTCCTCCTCCTTTCTCCTCCTCCTCTTCGCCTCTCGCTCCCGAGCACTGATTTGTTTCTATGAAACGAACCCAAATCCCTCAGCAATAGCCGCCGTCGTCGTCGTCGTCGTCTCCTCCTCCTCCTCCTCCTCCTCCTCCTCCTCCTCCTCCTCCTCTCTCCCTCTCCAGCTCCAGCTCAGCCCGCTGCCGCCCGAACCCCTTTCCTCCAAGCGCAGCCCGCAGCCCTGGCGCTGCCGCCCCCGCCCAGCTCCTGAAATAGCCGCGCGGAGCCGCGGCCGCTCGGGCAGAGCCGCTCCCCGCCCGCGCGCAGCGCCCGCCCGCTCCGCCCCCCGCCGCTGCTCTCCCGCGGGACGGAGCGCTCCGCCCGGGGCGGTGTTTCCGGATGGCGCCGGGCGTCGCAGGCAAACGGGGTCCGGGCACCGGGGACTCCGAGGGTGGGGGTGCTCGGTGCTCCGCCGCCAGCCGCGCGGGTTTCCTGAGATAATTCCCGGTTTCTCCCGCTGGAGAGCGGCACCGCTGCTGCTGCGCGCTACTGATGCAACAGGTATCGCTGGTCTGCAGCCAGCGGGGTACCGGGAGCGTTTCCTTGGGCAAAGTCCCTTAAAAATGTGCACGGAATGCCCTAGGGAGGAGAAAAGGCAGCGAACTCCCTCTGTACTCAGCTCTGGCGAGGCCGCACCTCTAGTGCTGTGTACAGTTTTGGGCCCCTCACAACAAGAAAGATATCGAGGCTTTGGAGCGTGTCCAGAAAAGGGCAATGAAGTTTTAAAGAATCTGGAGCACAAGTCTTATGGGGAGCGGCTGAGGGAGCTGGGAGTGTTCAGTCTGGAGAAGAGGAAGCTCCAGGGGGAGGGGAGAGCTTATTGCTCTCTACAATGACCTGAAAGGAGATTGTAGCATAGTGGGGGTCAGCCTCTTCTCCCAGCGATAGGATGAGAAGGAATGGCTTCAAGTTGCACCAGGGGAGGTTCAGGTTGGATATGAGGAAAAATTTCTTCTCAGGAGAGGTGAGGCAGTGGCACAGGCTGCTCACAGAGTTAGTGGTGGTGTCACCATCCCTGTAGGTGTTCAAGAAATGTATAGATGTACTAAGGGACACGGTTAGTGAGCATGGTGATGGGCTAACAGTTGGGCTAGATGATCTTACTATTCTTTTCCAACCTTAAAGATTCTAGACTCTAGACTCCCAGAGGGAGAGATGACATTTGTATGTCATCCTAACACATATTACTGTGGAAATATTAATTATGGAAATATTAAAAATTATGGATGTTGCCCTAGATGATAGCTATCAGAAAGTTTTGCTCTTTGTGCTGCCTCTCTCCCTTGGGATGTTACAACTTGTAGGAGCAGATCATCACCCCAGCCTCCCCATTTAGCTCTGTCACGTGTTGTAGCCTTGTGATGAAAGGGGAACTGCACAGTAATAATTTACGGATACTGTGTTTTGACTTGGTTGCTCCATTACTGTAACACTTCAGTTCAAAAGGAAAATGAAAGGGAAAAGCATGGCTTGAGATAAGCCACTTTTCCACATACAATGGCTGAGAGACAGCGCCTGAATTATTTTCACTGGAGGGGAAAGAATTAGGGAGGTGGGGAAAGGCTTGGAATCAGCTGGGGAAGTAACATGGGACGCCCGAGTGCCAGATAGAGTCCTGTTTGCTTTGCTTACCCTGCAAATCTGCAAATACCTCAATGCAGTGTTGCGGTTGTTATTAAGTTGGGTATTAGGAAAAATTTCCTCTCCAGAATAGTGATCAGGCAGTGGCACAGGGTGCTCAGGGAGGTGGTGGGGTCACTATCCCTGAGGTGTTCAAGAACCATGTGGACATGGCACTGAGGGACATGGTCAGTGGGCACGGTGGGGATGGGTCAATGGTTGGAATAGATGATTGTATGATTCTATAGGGAGAACAGATATCCCCATAAATGTCCGAGCAAAAATAGGACCCCATCTTGAAAGCTAAGTACATGCCACAGAAATCTGCACTGGGCTGGGCAAATGCCCAGTAAGGATTGCTGCTATCACATTTCACATTTATTTATATCAAATATTTTTTTTCGTTTACTTCAGACTCTCTAATGGTTCTCACAGGAACACGCAGGCACCGACTGCCCTGCTTACTCTCATTCTCCTCTCCTATTCTTTTTATTTGCCTGTAATGTCCAATTGTTGTCTCTTATCGTAAATTAGTCATACACTCCCTGGTGGGGAACGGTTTCATACATGCTTGTGTGGCTCTCAGCATAATAGCACGCTGGGGTGTTGGTTGAATAACACATATAATCAGACATAACACTTTTACAACAAATTTATTTTGGCAGTGCCAATACTCTTTGTCTGATTAATGCAGACATTTGATAACCAAGTCGTATTTGCACAAATAATTATGAAAAGTAGATGCTAAGCCTGACTGCCTAGATTAGGTATCACATGTTTTACAAAGTGCAAGGCACAGTTTGGCAGCAGGGAGCTCCTGAGATTCCTTTCCAGGGCTGAAGCAGAAGAGAGTTTACAATTACTCTGAGAAGATCTGAAGAGGCTCAATCTAAATGTAAATGTGTCCCTCAGCCCGCCCAGCTTACAAAAAAGCCAAAGCTGTCATTTTCTCCTATTTCAAATCCCATTTCAGGGTACCTCAATGACACCCTCGGAACAGCCAACTGGCTGGACTCGGAGCTGTGAGGGAATGCTGATGTTTATAGAACCAACACAAATAGGAAACAAAGACGCAAACGCGTCCGTGCAGCCTGTATGTATGGATAAAGCAGCATTCACCTGGCCGAGTCTGTCATTATTCCCCCTTCGTATATTGCGGATCACGAGCTGTAATTTCTTCTTGGCCACAGTGTGCTCTGTGATTATGCATCCCAGAGGAATCCTCACCAGGGCCAGCAGGTGCTACCGTAACACATTCACAACAAACCCATGCATAGCTCTGATGTGTGACATTTAAACTTCACAATTATTATTATTATTTTTTTTTTTTCAGTCTCTTCTCTCAACTGCTCTCTCTCCTTGGGGGATTCAAAGCCCTGAAGACTTTTTCTGAAGCTTTGTTCCTGGTCCCTAGAGTCACATTGCACTTGTGACTGCTTGTTCCCTACTTGCAGAACATCCTGCTAATAAAGGCCTTAGCTCTTTACTGTTAAAATATTACTGATTGCCAGAATTCAATGGGGAATGGAAATAGCTGCATGAGGAGCTCCTATAAGGGACTTCAGTACCAGAAAAAGGGCTTAGGCAGAATTTAAGCACCTCCATCCAACACTGATTCCCCTACAACCCATTGCCCAGCCCAGCTTCTAGCCTTGTTGGTCCATTTTGAACCATTTTGTTTGTAAAGCTCCAAGGACCACCACTGCTCTTCCCTCATAGGTGCCCACTCCTGGTCCCATGGATGAAGCCCTCTTACCAGGGACATCTCTGATTCACAAGCGTGAATAAGCCTGTGTCTCATCCTACAAGAGCATATGGAGTTCAGAACTAAGGAAATGAAATGTGCACTTTTCACTCTTCACAGATGTGCTCTTTTTCCTTCTCACACACTGCCTGTGATCTCATCAAACAACCACATGGACACTTGAAAACTTGTCATTGACCCACCACTGCAGATACAAGCACCTAGGATCTGCACGGTTGGTAGCACAGCACTGCGTACCACTCATTTTCCAGCTTCTTAACTTTGAAAGAATGATTTATTGCATTTCATCAAGTGTCTTTTTAATTGGAGCTTCTGCTCCAATCGACAGCTTCTGCTATTTCTGGTCAACCCTTAAATACTTTGCTGCTTATTGGGGTTTTTGTTTTTGCTACCTGTATTAGATCAAGACTTTCAATACAGAGAAGTCATATGCTTGTTGCTTACTGAAGATAAACGCTTTTCGTGGGTTCTGTTTGTTGCAACTGATACACATTACTGCATATGCTGTTTGTTAGTTGTAGTCTGATATTGCCTCAACACCAGAAATATTTCACAGAACTATGAAACATATTTTAAAAGCTGAGTAGACAGACTAATAAGCCGACTATCGGTTGGCAATGTTATTAATTTGTACGTTCTGCAAGGAATGTGCCACCTTACAATGAGCACATCATCATTCTTAGAAGATTATGAATTATACATCCTGACAGTACAACTGGCTAAAGAAGGCTGCAGAAAAGACCACATTCTACACACACACACACACACACACACACCTCTGATAACTAACCAATATCCAAATATAGCAAACATCCAATAGGATTAGCTTCCTAAGATATATCTGTGCTGAATTTAGCAATTAAAACATCAGTATTTTTCCACAGAGCTTTGCTTCCACTGTCTCGTTTCCTCCTACCCCAAGCATATCGTCAACTATTTCTTTTCTGAGGTTGTTCACAACAGAAGCAAAAAATATATATTTTTTCTATAGGCACTTTGATTTCTCCTAAGATGCTGTGAACAGATATGCTGCATTCTTTGTTTTGTCTCTTTGCAGTAATTCTAATTCATCCACCTACAATTGATTCTAAACCTTTAGGACCTCTGGCTGTAGTGTTAGTTCCTGCAAAGCAGGAGCCTTCTTTGGTTAATGAAATCTGCTTCCCTAGCAGGGCTTCCACACACCATTTCTATCCACCTAGTTCATCCAAGCTTGGGGCACTTCAGTGTGGGACAGCCAAGCTCTTGGCTGCATTGCACCTCTGAGGCAAGCACAAAGTTAGCTCCCACAGCTTACACTCATCTGAGCAGGCTCTGCAATGAGTTGTGCAGTCATTGAATTTGAAAGAACATGCACACACTCATCCACCTGTCAGTGCCTAGGGATCAAAACCGAAAGGCCTGGAAGGTAGAGAAGGCAATGAGTAGGAATGCATTATCTTGATACAGAGAGAAGTATAAACAAGTTAAGCTGATTTCCACATGCCAGAGGGATGCTTGGAAGGTAGACCACTGACTGCAGGACAGGGTGGAGGCACAGTCAAAGTATAAAGACACGGAGAAGTCACCACAAGTGAATTAGAATCGTAGAATTAGAATCGTAGAGTGGCTTGGGTTGAAAGAGACCTCAATGATCATCTAGTTCCAGTCCCCTGCCATGGCAAAGGCTGCCAGGCCCTAAATCAGGCACTAGATCAGACTGCCCAGGGCTCCTCCAATCTGGCCTTCAACACCTCCAGAGATGGGCAAGTAGTGGTATGTTCAGAATTCCAAGCTCTTTTATCAAGTCAGCCATTTTCTTTAAATTGTGCATTTAAATAAATACTGCTAGCACCTCCTATTCAGATGACAAAGACAAGCTTTGCTTTTCTTGTTAACACATCCCACGGTTCATTATAGTTTCTATCTGATCAGCAGCACAACCAAAGGTGTTCAGTTTTTCCTGCATCTGTAACAAACAGCTCAGCAATAATGTGTTTCACTAAAATAGGGTGTTGATATTCACTGATAATATTTTTGTACCAGCAAACACATTTTCACAGATAAATATAAATAAAATAAATAGATAATTCTTTAGATATAAGGAAGAAATCTTTTACAGTGAAGGTGGTGAGGCACTGCAACAGGTTGCCCAGAGATGTGGTGGATGCCCTGTCCCACAAGACTTTCAAGGCAAGGCTGGATCAGGCTCTGAGCAACCCGATCTAGCTTTGGTGTCCCTGTTCACTGTAGGGGAGTTGGACTCGATGGCCTTCAGAGGTCCCTTCCAACTCTAAGGATTCTATGATTGTATAATGAAATACAAATAAACGCATTTTCAGATCAAAACCATACTTTTGGGTCTGTAATATATCTGGAAAGAAGTGTCCTTAACATGGAATGATTAGAATTCAGAAAAAAGGCTTGAAAATCAGACCATGTTGTATCTCTGTTGTGGCTTCACGATGCTTTGGGGATCTTTTATTTTTTTCTGCTTTGAAGCAATACTATATGTTACTTAGTAGAGAAACTGCCCACATTTTGTAGGTATAATCTGGTAATGAATTGAATTACTACATCTCAGTTTGGAGAGTTCAGCTCTGAATTATGCTGGAAAGTCAGTGCAGGAATAACAGGTGAGAAGAAGGAGTTTCCTGGTTGTCTCATCATATGAGAGCTTTTGGACTCTCTTCATGGCTTCTGAAGGAAGAAATACCTTTTCAATTCAATGTCTTGCTTGGTAATGGAAATAAAACTCTAATATTCTGTGTCTAATAGCAATGCTAATATCTCAGTATCTTATGTTAAATGCATTTGAATACATTTACCTCTGTATAATCCAATATTCATATGAAGATCTTTTTGCCTTAAAGACAAAACACAACAATACCTCAGATTCTTGGGCACGTAGCTCGGTCTGAGGGCACCTACATGTTCATTCTCTCACCTTTCTTACACCAGCACTGCAACTTCCTGAATTAACCCACCCTTACGCTCAGTTAGGAACAAGGACGTGTGAGGAACAGCAAGGAAATGGTGCAGGGCCATGATGGCTGTGGCAGGTGAGAGGATGATGCTCTCACCCCAGCCCCTCAGCTGGAGAAAGATGTCACCAGAATTCACTTTTCTGGCCTCTCTCCCAGCCTTATGGGGCTCTCTAACTCCAGGTTTCATGTAGCCCTGCCCACCAAGGGGCTGAGGAGCTGAGTGCTTTGCTCATACCTCCCTGCCTGGCGGTAGGAATGAGGTGGGGTGCAGGCCTGGAGCCCTGCGGTGCAGGGAGCAGAGCAGGAAGGCACATTCAGTGCCTGGGGCTGCCAGGATCAGACTGGAGGAGCAGCAGAAAGGATGAAGAGGAATATCTCTGCCAGGCGGGGACATCTGCACAGAGATGGAATCACACACCAGCTGCCATGCCTGGAGAGTGCGAAGGGTGATACAGTACTGGTGTAGGCATTCATTAAAAATAATAAAACAAATTTGGTGACACTTTCACAGAACAACCAACCTTCCTCTAAACACCAAGAGGTTATGAAATACACAGCAAACAGCAGCTGCAATTTACTGGCTATTTTCTGATGAGTTTTGATAAAATCTGTCTTCGGAGTTGTTTACAATTCACAGAATGAATCAAAGAACCACAGAATGGTTTGGGTTGGAAGGGACCTCAAAGCCCTTGGGCAGGGCTGTCCCCCACCAGTTCAACTGCCCAGGGCCCCATCCAACCTGGCCTTGAGGACCTCTAGGGCAAATTCATCTTGCAACGAGCTGAAAACTCACCACAAGGTGAGAAGTATGTGGGAATAACTGGCAAAATGGAAAGCGGTTGATTGCTGAATTTGTCAAGGCTATCACAACGTAATTGGCATTTGCAAAGTATTTATTAACAATTTAGAAGAGGAAGTGAATGTCCCCATTCACCAAATTGGCTGATAGCAAAATGTTATTCTGGTGGCTCACAACTATGACAGGCTCTAGGAAGATCTTAATAAAATTAGGTAATAGACAATTTTGTGGTAAATTAAATTTAGACCCATGCAAGACTGGGGACTAGAGCTGAGTGGATAATTATCTATAAAATGTACTCAGCATATTTTGCGTCTGTATATGTTTGCAAACTGCCTTAGATCTGTTTATGATTTTCCAAAATTCATTATTTGTTTTGTTTACTCCTAACACAATGATTATAAGTAATTCTCAATTCACAAATTGCTTATGGCAAGTTCTGTCCATTTCACCTCAAAACACAAAGCCCTAACTCCTAATTCCAGGTCACTGGCATTTGGAAACAGCAACACAAACTGATTTCCGTGCTCTCAACCCTAGAGCATCCTTCATTTATGCGTTAATTAAATAGGATAAAGAGAGATTTGTAAAGATCCAGAGATAGTTGAATAAAGGAAAGTAAAAGAGAAATATGTGACTGAGTAGAACAAGTAATGACAAGACATAGAACATGGATCAGCCTTTCGTCTGCTGTTTTGTACAAGAGGGATCTCAACAGAATTTTTTAAATGTAAGGAAAGATCCATCCTCTGCACTGGAGCTTAGCAGTTCTCAGGAAGACTAAGCTAACAAATACAAAACAAAGCTTAGAAAATTACACACGAGTAAATGTGGAATGGCGAGGAACTGATCCTAGCAAAAAAAAAGGTGCTTTTGAAAGAAATTCATAGAAAGGCCGAAAAGAAGCCCCAAAATAGGCAGTCCTTTATCACTTCTTTAGAACTGCCATTTTATCAGGATGGCCAAGAAAGATTCCCGAAGATAAGAAGGTAACTTTAGTTTGCTTTGAAAAGAAACAATTCTGTGGGCTAAAAGAAGGGAAACAGCTGACCAGGAGCATCTTAAAAGCCGGCCATTGAGGCTAATGAGCATGTTAACTGAGAACAGTCTGAATAAGAGAACTTGCTCAACCTTTTCTCATTCCACTAGTAACATCAGTGTAGCTTTCCAGTGACTTGTATTATCTCTCTACTTTTCCCAGTAGACTAAAAGGAGCCAGGAAGAGGGGAGGGAGGAGGAAGTAATGGCCCAAAACTTGAACATAGAAGTTCCATACAAACATGGAAGAGCTTTACTGTAATGGTGACAGAGCACTGGAACAGGCTGCCCAGAGAGGTTGTGGAGTCTCCTTCTGTGCAGATAAAATTTAAGTCCCATCTGGACACCTACCTGTGTGACCTACTGTAGGGAACCGGCCTTAGCCAAGGTGTTGGACTTGATGATCTCTGGAGGTCCCTTCCAATGCCTATGATTCTGTGAGACGCGTGGCCATGTGTGATATCTCCTGCCTGCCTCAGGACAATGATCACACTGCCAAATCCACACCATACATCCCAGGAGGCCCTTCTGCTTCCTGTGTTAACCCGTGAAGAAGCCACTCACCCCTTCAGGGGCAAGCAGCATTGTTCGGAGAACTGACAGCCTCATGTGGGAGTTAATGAGCAGCACTGCAGTGCAGTTTCATTTCAACAGCAAGCTTATTCCTCTCATTTTTAATTCACTGTCACGGACACACAAATGTATCATTTGTATCATAACTAGAGCCTTCCCTGTAGTGGAACTGTAAAGGTCTGTTATTTTTATCTTCTTTTCCCCTATTCTGTTTCTGTCTTAGTCACTTCTGCCTTTTCTACAGGGATCAGTGTTACTTCTCAATAAAAGCCATGTGTGATTATTCAGCCCAAGTGCTCATATTAAAAACTGGGGCCCTTCAGCAGCAGGCAGTGAACAATAATGCATGGCACACCAGTATGACAGCCATCTCTGAGTGGAAACAATACACACCTGACTCATCCTTGCTATCCATCAGCAGCGATATATTTGGATCTTGCAGTGCTTCTGCCACACAATAGGTTGTATCTTCTTTTGGACTTTTGTTACTGGGAATATGCAGTGGCACGCTCCAGAGATGTGCATCAATTTTTATAACACGTCTCCTCTGAAGCAGGAAGAAGATCTTTAACATCTATTAAATTGGTACTTGTCACTAATTATTTTTAAGCTTATCATCATTTGTAACTTTACAGCTCTCTTTAGTTGCTTTAATTATAGATTCTGTACCCCATACTTTCTCCATTCAAGAAAAGCATTCATCATCTCAAACTAGGCACTGTTTTAACAAGTTCCAGAAGAGATTATAAAGATACGAATGGATCCTGCAGTCTAAGCAAACACCCACTGTGCTTACGTGACTGCATGGCAGAAACCCACACCCAGAGCACAGAAAGGCAGGCTCACTTTTGGCATTACATTTCTCTTTTACTACTCTTTCCCCTAAGCATACCTGTGCCTTTCTTCATCTCCTGCTCATCCAGAGCATCAAAATCATCTTTGCCCTTTGGGCCAGCTCACTGCTCTCTTGAAAAAGAAAGAACAAGAAAGGAGGGGGGAAATGGTAATTACTGCTCGGTGCACTTGTTGCCCCATGTTGGGTGAGGCAAGGTGTATGCCTTGGTATCCAGAGCGCCGGAACATGGGCTGGGCCCACCTCCTCCAGAGCAAGTCACACCCAGCTGCTGCATGATAAATATTCCGAATACAGGATAAATTCATAGCATTTAACTTGCCATCATGGAATCACAAAATCACAGAAAGGCATGGGTTGAAAGGGACCCCAAGGATCACCAAGTTCCAACCCCCAGCCACCAACCTCCAGATCTGGTACTAGACCAGGCTGCCCAGGGCCCCATCCTACCTGATCATGAACACCTCCAGGGACGGAGCATTCAGAGCCTCTCTGGTCAGCCTATTGACTTTGTTCTATATGGTTTAGTATTTTTGTGAATTTTGACCATAAAACTGTATTACTACATATTTAATCTAGTAAGATATTAAATGATAGGTTGTTCATTTCTTTTTTCATTTTTTCTTAATCAGAGTTCACTGTTTCTGAACTTTGTCTGGAATGAAGAAAATTATCCAAGCAAAACTGTCAAGTATAAAATCAAGAATTGAAATCTGTATTGTTATCTCAAAGGTACCACACGCTTTTTAATGGATAACGCCTTTTAAAGACTGCTGTACAACACATTACAGATCTAAGCTTTTCAAAGCAGGATATACAGGATTAAGGCTACATTTAAATCTGAACATGATAAAAGGAAAAAAAATAAACAGGCAAAATGTGACTACTTTATACTAACGTTATGTAAGAACTTGCATGGGAAATAATTCATTCCTTACTTCCATCTTGTAATGATATCGGGAGGGAAAAAGATTAGAACATTAGATTTTAGACCATTAATCTCACCCTTTTATTTTTGGTGCGTCTTTATCTAATCTGATACCATAAATACTAAAACACTTTAAGCCAAACTGTATGGCTATTGTCATCACAGTGGTGAGCTCACTCCGTAAGCCTTGGTCACGTCTCTTCTGCTCTAGCATACTCACATTTCACTCCTGTATCACTTCAGCTCTAATGTGCTGGGAGCTTATGGACACTGAAATATTTGCATGATGATTTTCAAGTAAACACAGCATTATCTGCACTACATTCTATGCTTAAGTTTGTGACAGACATCCTCAATACTGACTCAACCTTGAAGTTACTCATTTTCAGGCAAAAATGCTAAGATTACATTATCCTTAGGGACTAAGTACACTGTCTACATAATATATGTCTATTTTGTAAGCAGCTTAGGATAGGGACCATGTTTTTTATGAAACAGAGCTTATAACCAATGACCTTATTTAGCAATAAACCATGTTCTCAGCCCTTCTGCCTGCAGTGTCCAGCGGCAGACTGGGATTTATCTGAGAGAACAGCAGTGGCAGCACACTCAGTGTGGGAACAAGCACCAGCCTCCTGTGCACTCAACAACTGATATCTACAAGAGGTTCCCAGGTGCTCCACTCAGTTGTCTGCCTTCCCAGGAAGAGATGCTTAGACAAAAAGGCAGCAGCATCTGTAGAAGGGTACCACTGTCCCCAGCACTTCCCAGGCTGCGAGGGAGATGTGCTGCTTTTGGAACCTACACACCAGGATGTTGGTTTAAGATTTATGGTTCTTGATTCTTGCTGTGGTTCGCTTTGCTGCTTTGTTTACTTGGTAGGGAGAGAAAGAGAACTGGATTAGCGTCCTTGACAAAAGGCAGAAAACTCCATCTTAGGCATTTAATAATCTACATATCCAGAGAATTACTATGCATGCCTGAGTTACCTCCGGAAAAGTCAGCATACTTTAAAACAGCAATTTGTAGCACTTGTAAAGCATTTTGTATCAAAATAGTTTTAAAATTAATGGGAGCTTTGTTCTGGTCTGGTGCCCACTGTGACCTACTATAAGCAAGGAGAAACCAAAACACCACCTGGATACGAAATCACTGTAACTAATAACCATGTAAAGTCCACGAAACTCTTCTTCTACCTATTTTACCTTAAACACCACAAATGTTACACAGCTAAGATCAATAATTGGATCCACCGTGATGGGAATCTTGTGAAAAAGAGAGAGACAATTCAGGATTTCAGTCAAGGGAGTAATTACCTTTCCACTTGCACAGACCCTTAAAGCAGAGAGCGCTCTGCAGTATAAATGCAGCATAAGGGAAGGTGATTGGGGTATTTTGTTGTAGCTAGTATTTCTATCAGAGAAAGTAAACCAGCTAGTCTTTTCCAATGACACTGGATAAATAGCACACAATGGATCCAAATTCTAATTTGCTTAATTGCATTAGCCCACTCCCCTCCTGTTATGGGAATTCAAGCTTCAATGGCAAATCCAACCTCCTAACGAGATTACTGTGATGCGCCCCATGTGAAGCTGTAGGACGGCCATGGGATGGGCAGGGGAGCCACTGTTCCCTTGGTGACCAGCCAAGTGGTTAACCCTGGTAAGGAAGGGTGTGGGGGGAAATCAGTTTGAATGACAGCACTTCATCCTTTAAACTTCATCTCACTGCTGAACAAAGCAGAAATGGTGCCAAGCAATGACCATGGGGAAATTACCCTTGTTTTAATCTCCGTCTCTTCCAGCTGATGTCAGGAGAAGGGGACGAGACAAAAGGCCTCAAGCTGTGGTGAAGATCATTAAATCAGAAGAACATAAAGCCATGGACATCACTGTGCCATCCACTACATATTCAGTTGAATGCAAACATTTTTGTTATGCAGTTTGATATTATTATTACTATTATACCTTTAACCCATTTTGAGCAGCTTTATTCCTTTTCTAACCTCCTTTGTAATGCCTTGCAGTAAACTCCACCAGCTGAGCAAATCGCTTCCTCTTCGTTATTCACAGAGAGCTGCTGGAACCCAAAGCCTAAGCTAACTGCAATATATGGTCCCTATTTAAATTCTGTGGAAGAGCTGAAATTATGCCAGAATCACAGCACAGGTATATTATTACTGCTGTCGTATCGAGAGCAGGTGATACGCTTCTGAATTAGGGATTATTTAATCACAAAGATGCCCAATTAGTATGTAGTGATAAAACTTGCATGCGTGTTCATCATCCTTGGCCTTTACTGCAGACTGTAGTCTTTTTATGCCAATATCCAATATATCTAATATCAGCTTATGCAATAAATTGTTTTAAGAGAAATATAGGGCAATGTTAAAGACATGTCTGTGAATGGAGAATGAAAATGATTATTTTTATATATTTTTTTCCCACGACAAAGATATTTTGAGTCAGAGAACATTGCCCACATACACTGGAGCAGTCCATAACCCACATAACCCCCAAGGCTGCTTTAGTTCCCAGTACATCTGGAGGATTTCCACTGAAACCAGCCAAGTTAAAGCGCTGTGAAAGATGCTTGTAAAGACCAAGCAGTTCCCATTTCACAAGACCATGTAGGCAAGGAATGACAGGCCCATGGGTAAAAACAGGCCTAAAGGCTCCAGATGGTATATGAATGAAAAAGTGACAGAAAACTTACCCTGACCACCAGTGCCACAGGCAGAGAGACGGCAGCAGCGTCCTGCTGCAAGGACAAGAAGAAAAGACACTTTGTTACTGGGTGACAAGAGAAGCAACCCCTAATTCCTCTGTGCTTTAATTTAGTTGAGAGCGTAATCAATTGCTGAAATTGTTTCACTATTTTTAAACCTAAGGGAGCAAATGGAAATCACATTGTGAAGACAGAAACTTAATTATGCTTTCTGAGAGCTAGCTATCTGCCAAAGCAGAAGCAGCCAGCACCACATTCCTTACCTCTGTCCTCATCAGTGGAGGTTTCTGATGCCTCCTGCCCACTCACCAAATGTGAGATTCCACCAGGCGATGCTTCCTTTACTACAGCTGAGGCTGCAGTGACTCCTGGAAAATGTTTTGACATAGCTGGTCATCAGGATTAAGAGACTAATCAATGGGCTTTTCATTTTGTGTTTGTTTTTGTTTTCCTCTGTGCTTTTAGGAATGCCTGTAATTTGTATAATCACATCCCGACCTCGGCTCTCGAGATCTTCTATTTTGCAAAATACCTATGCTGTAATCAAAGTTGCCATTATAGCACGGCTAGGTGTACTTGCTGGGGCTTTCATCTAGCTAGATACAGATTAAAGGTCTCTGTGACCTTTGGGTCGCTGAAGCCAGCAGCAAGGAAGCTCCATCAGCATAGGGTCCCTTACAAACCTGTTGGGAAGGGCCACAGGTGCAGCTGACTTGCCTGTGACAGCACTGGCCTGCCTGGCTCTGCTGGAATCGTGCCTTTGCTCCATGAAATACACTGTTGGCTCCACAACCATTTAATTGCCTGTAGTTAGATCTTCAAAAACACACATTCTTTGGTCCTTCAGCTCATTTATTAAATGCATGTATGGTTCCGTTCATAAAGGTCTCATAGTTCAGGTCAGGTGAGAGTTCAGGTCCCTTTTGGCTTTCTCAAAGTTCCTCTGTTGTTCATTGTTAGAGACCAATCAGCAGCATCAGTTTCTTTGCAGCTTAAGAAGTTGAAGACCGGGAAGAAGGAGAGATATTTGCAGCAACTTAAAAGGTATTTGATATATAATCAAATGCAAATATTATGATACATAAATTCGGAGCACAATTTCTCTTGACTTTCCTACCAGTGAAAAAGATGATGACTCCTGAGAATGATGTGGTGTAGAAACCTAATTTAAAGCATTCAGATTTCGATGATACAACAACTGCTTCTTACCCTTCTCATTTTTTTCTGCTCACACACTGGAAATTTAGACATATGTTACTATTTTTTTTAACCACATGATGTGACCTCTTACATTATTAAATGAGATTAATCTTTCAAAATGTGAGCAAAAATTTACAGTCTCTTCAAGACTAGAATCATGAGTGAATATAATCAGAGGTAGCTTTGGAAAGAGCTCTGGGTACACCAGAACCCTAGATCTGAAATTTGTGTCTATCACGAGAAAAAGAAAACCTTATTAAAAAGTTATGAAGCGGGTTCAAAATCACAATTCCAATTCATTTTGCTTTTGTCAAGAAGAGAGAACAGTTACCAAGGATGTGAACCCAGATCTCCACCCACAGCTTCAGTGGGTGTCAGCTGGCTCTTGGCTAATCAAGCAGCAACAAGCATTTGGATTCTCATGGAGAAGTCTAAGAACTTAAATGAGTTCTTAAAATGCAGCCCCAACACTGTTTGGAACTGAGTTTTGGGTGTGTCACATATACTCATGACAGTGTTTGGCTGTACTATGTTTTGGCCACAGCTGCAAGCACTCATGTAGTCATTCTCTTAGAAATGTCCATCTGGGCTATGGAAAGATTAACAATATTAACAACTAATAATAAAAGGGAGCTTACAAACAGGAGGAAAACTGACCTTTTACATGGACAGCTAGTGATAACAAAAGGGGGAGTCGTTTCAACTAAAAGAGGGGAGATTTAGGTTAGATGTCAGGGGGAAATCGTTTACTTGGAGGGTAGTGAAGCTGTGGAAGACGTTGCCCAGGGCGGCTGAGGATCTGGTGGGTAGCAGCTCTGCTCACGATAGAGAGTTAGGATTGGATGGGCTTTAAGATCCCTTTCAACCCAAACCATTCTATGATTCTATGATTTTCTGAAAATAACTACTATTCATTAAGAAAGAGCACCATCATCTGACCGAAGGAAAAGAATTGTGAAATATAAGCAATATTATTTGGAAATTAAGAAAGAAAAGGGGGGGGGAGAACAAAGAAAAGCCAAGAGAGACCTTTTTTTTGTGTCTTGTAATACCATAAAATACATATAAATGGGGTAAAATTTGAGGAATTCCTTATGTCTCTGCCAGATATGAATGGTCAAGGACATGCCCTTCTAATTATCGTCATCATTTTCAAAGCATTTAACTTATATTTAGGTGTTTGTGTATCCAAAGGGGAGAAATAAGGACATATAATGTAATGGCATTATGTAGGTTTATCCTATGCATGAAATACTTACCTACTTTAATCCATCTCTCTTTTGGTACTACTGTACAGTGTAGCAGATGGGAAATCAAGCCAAACACTGCAATGCTAGAATAAGAGATTTTGCTCTACGTACATATTTTAGAAATGACCAAACTACATACAGAAGGGATTCTAGTTGAAAGATTCTTCCAGTCATACACTAATAATTTTGTTGCCAAGACCTACAGTACGTTCTTAATATTAAGCCTGTGCGCAGCTGCTGCAGTGCTCAGCTGCCCTGCTCCTGACTCTGGTGGCTCGTAGGGGCACACCAGGAGCTCGGCTCAGCTCAGCTAGTGCTGACAAGGTAGGTATCACCGCCACGCACTCTGACAGCCTGACAGCGCTGGCTTAATACTAACAAGCACAGTTTCCTCTTCCAGCAGCTCATTAACATTTGCTTCTTTAGTCTCATTTCTACTCCAGTTGCTCCCCCACTTCCATTCCCTCATCTAAATTCAATCTGCGATGTATCCAGCCTCCATTTTCTCTTTGCTTTCTCCTCAAACACTAATTCTTCTGCCTAAAGAAAAAGTAGCCTACTACCTGCCTTTTCCTTCACACAATGGATGGACCTAGATGAGGAAGGTGACATGCCAGCTCACGGCGTTGGGAGAGAGGTCAAGGTGCTGGCCATGGCTGAGATGCTTTCTGACGAAGAGCTTTTACAGGAGATCAAAGATGAGGCTGTCCACATGTGCCTTGTGTGCAGCCCATTGGAGGAAGAAGGAAACAGGCCCAGATGCCTTAGGTCAGCCACCACTGGAGCCACCCCAAAGGAGGCTGAGAGGATGGAGAAGAAGAGGAGCATGAGGCACTGAATGCCCCAAGAGAAACAGCACAGATGTGGCTCTTAGCTGAATTACTACATGGTATGCACCATTTAAGACCTGAGGACTGGCTGTCCCACATCCCTACTCACATTTGCATTCTTTGCCTATTCATTTCATTTACTCTTTTGCCACACAGGAAAATGTGAATCTCAGTGCTCTATTAGAAGCTTTAACACTTTGAGCAATACACGAGAGCAGCCAAACCTCCTCCTCCTCTCACTGCTGGCATCCTGTTTCTTTCTTCATGGTAGAGCTGGAACGTTGGACTTCCTCTGGCACCACTGATTTAAGTTTTTTAAACTACTGAAACAAGTCAAGATGACCCACACTAATTTGGTTGGATGCGATGGACCCAGAGGTCCTTTCCCACCCTCAGCCATTCTGTGATTCTGTAACTGCTTTCTCACCTCTTTGGAGATGGGCAGGAACCTGGCCACAGCTGCCTACTACCTGAGACAAAACCCTCTGATAGCCTTCTCTCTCTCAAACCAACAGTTATTCATGAAAGTTATTGGGAGTTGGGCAGTGTATGGCAAAAACTGATGTTAGTGCAGAAAACCTGAACTTCTCTTTGTGTTTCTGACTTCATTGCATGGTGTTTCCATTTACTGGGAAAATAAAGGTTTATCTGGTCAGACTCTCTCTCCTACATTGTCCTTTTATAAGCAACATTTTCTGTTTCAGCAGGCTCCTAAACGTTAGGGGTGCCTATATGAGCTCCTAACACAGCCTAGCACAACTGCAATGATTTAAATCTATCCTATCCAGATACATTTTACACTCCAGTATCTTATGACCCAGGAAGATATAAAACTCAATTTACTCATTAACCTTAGCTTCCTGAAACAGTAATTACTGCCCTGTGGACAGTCAGTAATTGAACTGAATGAGAGTAGCATGCAAATGCCATCCGATGCTAGATGTTGCTATAGGGTAACACCACATACTTTTTAAAAAATGACATTTGGACAGATAGCAGAGCAAAGCAGCAAAAAGGAATGTGAACAAAGTAGCACATGCAGGGATTAAATAAATGCAAATGATCAGAATCATAGGAACGTGGTGGCAATAAGCACAATATATTAGCTTATGTTTACAGTTACAGCTAATAGCATGCAACTATTACTTATTATAAAATCATTAAGGTTGGAAAAGTCCTCTAAGGTCATCTAGTCCAATCATCAGCCCATCACCACCATGCCCACTCACCACATCCCTCAGTGCCACATCCACACAGTTCTTGAACACCTCCAGGGATGGAGACCTCACCACCTCCCTGGGCAGCCTGTTCCAATATCTCACCATTCCTTCTGAGAATAATTTTTCCTAACATCCAACCTACAATACTTTTGCATTGAAAAGCATTTTCTGCTGGACCATTTCACCAGAGAATCAGCTCTTGCTTTTCTCCCCACTTACAGTTGCAATTTAAGATGTCAGGCCGCATTTTATATAGTGCAGTACACCTTGCTCTAAATTGCAGCAAGACATTAAAAACAAACACTGGAGTTAGCAATATGAGATTCAGTTTGAAGTACACTTGTCTTTCTGCACTGTTATTTTCAATTTTTCCCCCTTCCATTGAGCCATGAGTGCATATTTTTCCAGGCCCTTGGATGGAGCTTTTGCATTTTTAAGCCTGACCTAATTTAAGTGTAGATGACCCTGGTCTCTTACAGCTATGTTTCGTATCTCTTCATGGCGCTTGCAGAAATTTCTCAGTGTTCTTTCTGAGTGCACTTATTAGGCAACTTCATATTCTTCTCCCTTTTTTTTTTTTTTTTAAAACTTGTTTTTGTTTATCTTTCTGGTTTCAATTTTCATGTGGTACTTTCTTCCTTTGCTACTAGAATATGCTCCTGTAAATACAAAACGCTACTTAAGAGCTTTCACCACCAGAGTTCTGATCTCATACATAATTTGGGATATGCTTTCCAGACTTTTTTTTTTTCTTAGTTTTCAAGGCCACTTTATTCACTGACCAGAGTTCCCGAGTGCTTTTGTTCTGTAAGGCTCACAACTGAGGCTGGGCAGGCTTTGGCTGAGCTGGTCTAGGCCTGAATGGAAACTTCAGTTTAGCTAGAATGGTGATCACACAGCTACTACCCAATCTGTGTACTTTAGGTTATTTTAACCCTGTGGTATACATATTTCTGGGGGGTCAGTAGTGATAGCTATTCTACGTAGAAGGAAGTATATAGAACTCATGCATAATGATAGAGTAATTGTATAGGAATAGAGGCAAAGTGTGACAGCAAAAGGCTCTGAAGTGGGGGCCTTGGATGTGATTTAGACAAAAATAAGACAGCTGATAACAGAGTGGGCATGGGACAACACTAGAGAAGTATATGTACCAATAGTCAAATAAAAATATGTACAGTTTGAAACTAGGCAAAGTTTTAGGACTAACAGAGAACACACATCCAGTGCAGAAACTGTGCATCTTGTCACTACTTCCCTGCAAATTCCACTGAGCAGAGATCAAGGGACATTAGATTGACAATGATTTTGGGAAGTTGTTAGATTCTGTAACCTAAGATGATGTAATAAAATGACATTGGGAATCTATTAGTATATGTGAAACCCAGTAATCATTATCCACAGGAAAAGGGAGATCCACTTCATCAAATCCACCTGGATTTGCAAAAGCCATTCGGTCATGTCCCTCACTGAAGTCTCTCAGATATACTAAGATGCCACGGGATAAAAGAAACAACCCTCTATTCGATCAGATAAATTACAGATTGAATGATAAAAACCTATTGTGTAAGCTTCTGCCGAAACGACATGTTTTAATGCAATGTTGGCTTCCTTGAAAAAAGATGGTAATAAAAAAAATGTACACAGGAGAGCTGTAAGGATGCTTTAAAGGTATGAAATGGTTTCAATAACAGGAACAACTTAACATACTGGGACTTGTTGAGCCTGGAAAGGAAATGACTGATGGAAATGTTTGATAAAAGTTCTTAAAGTCATGAGTCACATAGAAAAGATATAAAGGAAACAACTGTTCCCTGTTTCTTCCACTAACAGAATGATGGGGGATGAAATGAACTAACAGATGATAGGTACAAAACAAAGGGAAGCTCTTTTCTCCACACTGTATATTTATTCTGTAAAATTAGAACATATGGCAGATATGGATAATCAACATGGATCTAAACAATGGTAAGCAATTGATCTGATTGATTCTTGGAAGACAAATCCATTGTGCTATTAAGATACCTCAGCTCATGAACAACACAAGTCTAACATAGCAATGCTCTAGGCAGTAGGGAAAACTTCTACTTTCTCTTAATCCCTGTCTATTATAGGACAGCAGTATGCATGTGTGTGGAGGGGGGTGGTGATGAACAACAAAACAGAAGAACCCAACATCTCTGCTTTACACTTGTCATAATCACAGAAGTCTGAGCCATCCTTTCCAATTTCCAGATCTCAAAAATCAAAACTATACTGGAGGAAATAAAGCCACTCCCTTACGCACAGGTCATCACTGGCTGCAGATGAATGTTTCCATCTCCTCCTTCTACTGATTATCAGAGCTGTCTGGATTTGTCCCCCTGCTGACAGACCACTGGAAACTCAACCATCAGCAGCTGTCACCTCTTCCAAGGAGAGGTGACTGTTGTCATCTGTAGCCTGAAGTCATTTTATAGTTTGTTAGACAACAAAATTTTGTTGCTGCCTTCTGCCTTCTCTTCCACTTTTCACCCAGGCATGTATAATTCCATACAGTCTGTGTTCATACAGCAACTACGAATTTGCATCACTGTTCCCAAGAAAGACAACTGACTGGTTGCTACAGTACTAGCTGCCTCTTAGAGACCCATTACCTCATGCCAGCTAGGAAAGGTGTCTAGAGGAGTGCAAGGACATCAAGATACACACTCAGATTTTATAACTCATAAATGCAGCACTTAGAAAAAAAAATGTAATAAAGAACTCTGAGTTAGAGGAAAACGTTAACATTTTAGTCTAAAATAAAATCTTAATTCTCTCATATTAAAAATCATACCCAATACCAAACAGTATTCCACCTAAGAGACCACAATCTTCAGTAAATGCAAACTGAAGATTATAAATAAAATAAGAACTAAATGCTTCCTAACTACCTGCTAGGACCCACAGGAAGCTGACCTCTGCTAGGGCTGGCACTTGCACAGACTGACATACAATTTTGCTTTAGTGATATTGACCCCGTGATCCGCTATGATAGAACAGCATCCTTAAGTAATAACTGTACCTCTGAAATACCTGAAAGTCAAAATTTTCCCTCTGTAATTTTAAGAAATAACAAACACCCTTAACCAGAAATAGTCATGCATATTGTGGCTGGAGTCAGAAGAGAAAATTATTTCACCCAAGAACACCTATCAAGTAATGGCATAAAGAACACGTATTAGAGGCAGAGTTAAGAATAAAATAAATAATTAATCTGTCTTAGTAGAAACACAAGTCATAAATCACATTTTGGGGAGGAAGCACATTTTGATACATTTGTTAGGAAACAAAGATCCAGTCAGGCACTTGGTTTTTAAAGAAGTTGTAGAATTGGGCCCTCTGCAAGTGCAACTAAACAAACTACACTTATCACACAGCTCACTAGAAGTTAGGCAGAAGTTTAGACAGAAGTATTCTTGCCATCAGAGATGATAGCTAAGCATGTATAATTTTGTAAACAAAGAAAATATTCTTTTTTATCATTCAGATAATTATTTCCCGCTATCAACATAACACACCAGTACATTTGTTCGGCCGTATTTTCAGCACCCACGGCTACTCACCACTACTTTATACTTCAAGCGTCTGCTTTTGAAAGAGCAGTTTGGGCAAGGGGCGTTTGCTCAGCAGGAGAAAGCAAGCAGCAGTGGCCAACCCAGCAGGACAGGGCTCAGACTTCTTCGCTGGCAGAGCTTCAGTGACCTCTAATGGACAACTTCCATCAGTGCACCTGCTCTTAAAAAGCATCAAAGCTACTCCGTAAAAACTCACAGTACCAACAACTGCTCGTGTCAGCCTAATGTGAACTTGGCACTAGGAAATATTTAGAGCTATTATTCAAGACGACTGTACCTGTTAGGATACCGCCTTTGTAACTGATAACACCGGTCCATGGGATAACAATCAGCTTCTGGATTCACTAGAAATTCTTCACACACTTGGGCCTACTTAATTCCCAATCTTGCTTACATGTAGCACTTAAAGTCAATTAAAGTCAAAACAATCAGCTTACAACATCACTTTGACTAACAAGGATAAAATGGCAAAGCACTTACGGCAAAGCTTTGCTGCCAGAAATTCTTGCCCCTTCAGTGCAGTGACATAAATTAAACATTTGACACAAATGAGAAAATGTGGAAGCTTCTGCATGGTCGCAAACACAGTCTTAAGTTTGCCTTAGGAAATCACCATACCCTGGTTTTTGCTTTCATTCCATTATTCTGCCACCTCCTACCCTACCAACCCTCCTCCTTCTTCCTTACAGGTAGTAAATGTTGACATCAATGTGTATCTCCATTCTGCAGGGCCAGGTCTGATGAAGGAGAGATGCAACATGCTGCTAAGCCAGTAACTTTCAGTTCCTTCTGTGTCATGACTCAGCATTAAACAAAAAAGAAATTTCCAGCCTTCCCACACTGCCTCTATTACTCTGTATAGAATATAAAGTATATAAAGTGACCTGTTAACTCAGCCCGCTGTTTGAGTGCCCATTATAGGCAGATCTAAAAAGTTGATAGAAATAATCAAATACTGCATGAGTTTCTTGATAGAGATGAACTTAAGCTTTGGTAGAAGATACAATATTGACTGGAAATACTACTAAAATTGTGCCACTTCAGGAACTTACTGGATTAAATCCTAACCACACTGCCATCAGTTTCAAAACACCACCATTATATGGCCAGGATCCACTAATCACTGTTTTATGAAAGTCAAGAAACCATCACTACTTTGGAACAGATGTTAAAATTCTTTTTCTGCCACATTTTTTTTGTTTGTTTGTTTCTGCTTGCCATTCTTGCTTATCAAGCAAGCTTGATAAGAATAATCATGATATGCTGTATATATTCTGTAGTATGAAAAAACTATTAGGGACTAAAAGACCTAGCAGCATCTGACCAGTGCAGTGATAAATGTGGAAAAGTGTGCTGGGCTCACTATTAGAAAGAAACAATGCACACAAACACCCCAAAGAAGGGGAATGGATTATTCCAAACCACAGCTTGTGAAGAACGATGATCTGCTACCATGAGTTAGAACAGATCTAGAACTGTACCTAGTTCTCAGCTTCCCTTCCCCCCCTCCCCCCTTTTATGGTCTCCCAATGGTTGCGCAGATCATTCTAGTAGTCCATCATTAAAGATCAACAAGGGTTGGCTTGACAGCTGGAACTCCATATGAGGAAACAGGACAGTAAGAATTGTTCTCTTTCCCACCCATCCTTCCATGCCACAGTGCAAATCTTTGTTAAGATATAAACAAACACTGACTCACGAAAAGTTGCGGAGATCAAAGTAGGAGACAAAACTCTCTTTAGGGTAATACTAAAATGGATCTGAAGGTTTACTGAACTTTTTATGATTTCCAATGAATATGCAAATACATTCAAGCCTTCTCAAATAAATATGGCTCTCAAATGCAGTAATTTTTCTTTTTTTTTTGTACAGGAGAATGAAATTCCGATCTACCTATATACAAACAGAACATAATTACAAGAAGAATATCTAAGTCAGATTTCTTAATTTTTATTAAATTCAAAAACTGCAGAAAAAAAATCACAAGATTCTAGGTACATATAAAAACAAATCAGCTAAAATAGAATTGTTGTCAAGTTAAAACTCACTTTTCCATAATTCTTCCTTCCATGCTATTGCCCACAGTATCATCAGAAATCCTACAAGTGCTTTAGAAATTGATTTTTATCTTATTAATATGATAGTAAACCATAAGTTTACTACCTAAAAAAGCAAACTGTTTAGGCACAAGGTGGCAGAAGACATAAGCACAAATATCAACCATGCTTCCTTAATCTGTAAATTGAAATCAAAATGTGCTAAGACTGGCATGGTATTGTATTCAGAATATCAGAGCTTGCTTACTGAAATAAGGAGTTAAAAAAATATCTTTTAAAACGTCTGCAGTTCTTTGCGTCTTTTTTCCTTCCACAAAGCAGAGAAACTGCTGCTTAATCAGTGGTACAACTTACTGTTAAGTGTCAGTGTTTCAGCTAGAGTGGCAAAAGTGACAAAATGGGTTCCAGCACCAGAGAATGAGAAGTAGAAAAGCTGTAGTGTGAAAAAGACTGGTTAATATTTGTGTTGCCAGTGTCATCAATAGCTTTGCAACCACCTGCTAAGGTAACATGACAAGCAGTCACAGGCTGTTTGGAGGTATCAGCTGGGCTAGGTCATCCCAAGACAGCAAGCATCAAGGTGAGCAATTAATGTTTGCTGCTCTTCTAACAAGGTCTAGAGGAACTGTCAAACAGAAAGTTAAATAATAAGGAAATTAATACAGAAGCAGTTGTTCCATACCGTAGATTTTACCTTTTACCCATGATTTGATATATTTGCCATTCTAATAACAGGTGCAGTTCCACTGTCATTCATAAATACAAAATTTTATTTGCACTTCATTAGTTTAGAAAGACCACAATGCTTTTCAATACCACAAACATTCAGGACACACCAAGTTATTCAAATATGTAACTACCGATTTACCACAGCTAAACTAAACAGTGCATTTTAATAAAAGATATACCAAAGATATAATTCACAAATTCATTATCAGACAAAAATCTAACACAGTATTTGCTTGATGGGAATAATTTCTACTATTAGGAAAGAAAAACCTCTTTTACCTTAATTTCCCCTCCCCCCAACCCTAGAGATGTCCAGACAAATACACATATATATTCCTTAACACAGGAAAATCTTTCTGTTTTTTTAAAGAATTTGTCTAGGACAGCAGCATTGCTTTTTATACCTTCTTATAGAGTTTTGAATATAATCTTCATTCTTTTATTGAAACTTATTGATTCTTGCAATTAAGTTTATGCTTATGCAGAAAATAGATGCAATTTCAGCGCAATCAAATTTGCACCAGATGTGACGTCTTAGTACAAAAAGGATGGGTTCAGCATTAAACAAAATAAATAAGGCTGCCAAAAATTAAACTTAGCTTTTCAACAAATCCAGTCAGCAGAGGATGCTACAGCCAAAAATGTTTTCACTACATTAAAATGAAACATAATGCTGATTATGGAAGCTTTGTACATAAAGTCCTCTGTTTAAAAAAAAAATTGTCTTTAAAATAGTCAGCAAAGCACCATATACTTATCTTCATACCAGAAGAGCTTCTGCCTGCCTGTTTATAATAACAAGAACTATTACAACATTTATGTCAAGAATAGGTATAGATTTAACTTCTCCTTTTTCCTCAACTGGAAGTGTGGTAAATCTCAACCAACTGTACAGTATTTATAACACTGGGGCAATGAATGAAACATCATTGTGAGGGTCAAGGGCAATAATTAAATGTTATATAGTTGAATCCTACAAAGGATTGCATATTTGCATATTTACAAGTTAGTGTGTAGCTCTGACTCGAATAACAAAGTGCAACAAGAAACTGCCAAATGATTGTAGTGCAGAGTAGTACAGATACTTTCTTTATCCTCCCACTCCTATTTTTCCACTCTGTATGGAGTAACAAGTCAACAGCAACGGACATGTGGCCTTGGAGGAGGCAGTTCTGGTGGGATTTCTGGCTCTGGTTGCAGGGACAGGATACTGTTGGACAACTCATTTCTTATAACATCCAGTGGCATCTTAAAGAAAAGAAAACATCGCCTGTAAACAATCATCTGCACAGAACCCAGCACAATGAGATAGTTTCAAGAGGTCACTATCAGCCAAAGCCTCCACACCTAAGGATTTTCAGATCTTATTAATTATTGATCTACATTCAAGCAAGTTGTGCTAACAGTGTATTTTCCAATGAAGTCGGGAAACGCTGTCAAAATAAACATCACTTTCAAAACGTGACAAAATACAAAAGAACTGCCTGCAAACAAAAGCAGGCAAGTGTATAGTCAGCTGCTGATATGAAGTTATAAGAAACAGGAATCATAGCAAATAGAAGCAGATGTCTACCAAGCTAGACAGCAATTCACTGATGCAGGCAGTAGAGACTGCAAACTATACCATGCCCCCTACATATTAACTTCACCTGACTGCATGCACTTACATCTCTATGTCCTCCCGACAAACACAATCAGAGATTCAGTATTAAGCATGAACCACTTATGTGGGCAGAAACTATCACCTCAATATTTTACCTTTTTCAGAATGTCATCAACAAGCTTTAGAAATATTTCATCCACATTAAAATTGTCCTTGGCACTTGCTTCGCAGAACCGCATCCCAGTTATTTGCTGTGCAAACTGATGGAAGAAAAAGTAAAATAACAACAAAAACAACAAATATACATTCCCCATTAAGCCTTTAATAAGCTTCTCTGAAATCTGTGACTGATCTTTTATGCAATTAATTACCCTGAATCTCTAAGGTACAGCAAACATTGTCAGATACAGCTAATTTTCACTTAGATTTGGTTTAATGGAGAAGTGTTCTGCACTTTTCTAGACCTAAGTTTGAAAAATTAATATCCTCAGTTGACAAGGATTATTCAGATTGCCAAGGAGTGGGAACTTTTCAGAAGAAAAATATTTGTATTTGTCCTGATCAAGAGGGTACATTCTCCTTTCATTTTCCTTACTACTTTTGCGATCAAGAAAAACACGAAAATCCAACAACCCTGAAAGCAAAGTTGAGTTAAGAAATCAAGCAGGACTCTTGCCAATCCTAAGGTAGTACTGAAAGGCCAATATCTGGAAGAAGGATCACAAACACGTCCTAAATGGACATCTCTCTATTTACGACTCAAGTCTTTACTGTATCTCTTTACATAGTTCACATGCCAAAAAGAGGGATTCACTACACTACTGTGTACTGGGGGGTTGTATAAACAGAAGCAAGCAAACTATGAATTTTGACAAAACATTCCCATTCTCAGTATGCTCCTGAGGTCCAACAGTATGACTAAGAATAGCCATGGACTCTCAACAGCAATGTCACAGCACTTTTGCTTCCATCTGTAACTTAGAATTTATTTATACCTGTTCTTACCTTCTCTCCCTGCTGTCGAGTAATCTCTCGATCAACTTCACAGTCCAGTTTATTTCCAACTAATAGAAGCTCTGCATCTTCTGAAGCATACTGCAAGTAAAATATTTTAATAAACTAAACAAAAAAAAAAGTGAGGCTTCATACAATATTAAAAACAAAAAGTAAATTCCTTTACTGAATAATGAAACACATCTACACAGTTTAACACGTTAATGTTCTTCCTAAACATTATTTTAAGAATTTTCAACTTAAATTTTTAAATATTATTTTAAAAGCTTTATTAAGAACCAGTTGTTTCAGTTCACCTAGGAGTGAACAAAATGACTTATTTCACAGACCAAAATTTCTTCTTTCCCCAGTGCACAGGCAAATGCATAATGTTACAGATTTCCACTGGCACTTCTAACTAGTTCAGTCAAAGGAAGCAGGAATGGACAATTATTTTGCAACAGAACACGTAAATGTTGAATTCGTGCTAACAGAATCCCATGCAAACCAGCAGTTCCAGTTTAATAACCCTGTAATTATGCTGTTAAAAGCACACAGTACTTAGTCCTTTTGAGAAAGAATTTATTCTCCCCCCTGCCCCCCCCCCAAAAAACAAAGAAGGAAAAAAAAAAAAAGCCACCAAAAACCCCCCAAAAAACTTAAGAGAGCCTACCTTATCAATCATTTTCATCCATTTTGGTAAATCATCAAATGTTTCCTTCTTGGTTATATCATACACCAAAATAATTCCCTTGGCACTTCTGTAATAAGCTGAGGTAATGCTGTTGAATCTCTCCTGACCTGCTGTGTCCCTAAGAAGCAGCAGCAAACATTGGCACAAACGTTTCATGGATTCACAAAGTATACAATAACTTTGTTTCTATCTCATTAAAGACAGCCTCCCACACCTATTAGATACTTTACATTGAAAATTGAATGTCTGTGTGTATGTCAAAAAAAAAAAAAAAAAAAAAGGAGCACTACTTTCAATTACAAAAGTTTTCATATCAGACCTACTTAGCCCATACTAACTTCACCAAGAAAGGCCACCAAATAGGTCTACATGTAACTGAAAATGAAGCTGTTCAATGGAAATGTACCAGCAGATTAAGCTGGTTTTGTGGTGTATGGTTGTTTCTTTTTTAAACAGCCCTGAAAAAAAGAAATAAAAGAAATGGATACATGCTTAGCAAACTAAAACAGCTGGACATCCAACAATAAAATGAGCAATACACTGATCATTATGATTTGAACTTTCAGAGTCTTTTTGGATCAACCACAGAAATTCAGCTATGGTTTTTAAGACTAATGCAGAGGCTACTGGCAGAATTCACTTCTAAAGAAGTGATTTCTAAATTAAGTAAACAACCCCTACATAGAACAGCTTTTGAAAGTAGATTATTGCCTTTCACATTTACATCTACTAATCTGAGGTGGTCAAATAGCATTCCTATCCTCACGTTCAATGTTGCAGGCATTTCTATCACAGTGCATTTACACTGGAGATTACTTTCAAGCAATGTCAACTGTATGCCTATATAGTTGATATTCCAAAGCAGATAAGACAAAGTTATTTTTTACTGAGTCTTGTCACGGAAGATTTTTGGCAGTTATACTAATACAACAGCTGGTGTATACCCTAAGTCTTAAAATGTGACTGGTATCAAAAGCAAATATTAAGTTATATGGCACTTCGAAGTAAACCAAAAGATAAGTCAAAAGACTAAATAAAATTCAAAGTGCATGGGAAAAAATGTGTGCCCATGCATATGGACCCTAAAACTCAAAAGGAACTCTGTTCAACAGTCACATTTTAGACAAAAGGATAAGAATGAACTTGGGAATGAGATTAACAATGGAGAACTGAAACACTCGTTACCAAAAAGAAAAAAAAAATGTTATGTTCACAAAATGCCACATTGATTGTCCTGAAGAATCCTTTTTAAGGTTTATGCACAACAAGTAGCAGAATAAACTACAACAAACCTATCGTGCTCTTCACAAAATCTTTAAGGACCTAAACTAAGCAGGCTTTAAAGTAAAGTACTTTCTCCTGAAATAGCCACAAACATACTTGATAGCAACAAATGTTTGGTAGGTGATTTCACAAAGTAAACACTGCCTCCTAGAAAAAGATGTGAGATCTCTATTTCATAACCTGTGGAAAAATACTGACTAACACTTCACTAAGCCAGCAGCATCATGATATGGAACTTGGGATAGGGAGGTGGAAGAAAACAAATTCCTACTGCATACATTTTTATTTTTATTCATATCCCATTCTCTACTCAAAACTTCAGAACTGGATTTGCACAAACCCTTGGGACCCTACTGAAGGTGAAACAGGTAGACTGTTTCAATGAGATCAAGCTCTAGAAGTATTTCAGACAGTTTTAGATGGTCAATTGGTCGCTTTCTTATCATGAATGAAATGTTTTTTTAATTAAAGCAATACAAGTTCTGGCAGCTGAAGTCACATATGTAAGTAATATTTAAAAGATGCAATTCATTTTCTCTTCCCTTACTTTTTTTTGGTGATGGTTTGGTTTTGTCAGAACCTTTGGAAATTCATTCCATGAAAAATTTAAAAATTCTAGTATGAACCGTTGATTTTCCACATATGGATAGCATTGCTTCAGTGCTTAGAACAGGCTTCTCAAAATTGTAACCATGTAGAGCGGCCTCTGCCGCCTGCTGCTGATCCAGCCTACCGACCAAGTGCATTAGGGATGGGATCTCTTTAGCTCTATCACTGCACAGACACAACCAGATGGCAGTTGGCAGGGCATACCCCATATATGGAAGAATGCATCAATTCGAGTTGTGGTCTGACTGATGAAAACCACTGCTTTTTTTGCCAGTCAGTCTTCCCTCTCTTCTCTGTGCCTGTATCAGAGCAGAGAGAGGAGCCATTTCAGAGCTAACTGTGCCTACAGGTCGATGTTAAGGGCTTTTAGCAATTCTATCACAAAGGGGCCCCTTCTGAAGCACCAGATCACACAGTTAAAACGTTAGGAAAATACACAAGGGAAATAAACACACTAACATCCAACTATTCTCTCTGAAGAGACCAACCAACACATGAGGTACACTTATGTGTAAGCACTGGAGTCAACATTACACTCAGCCACTACAGCTTCTTCCGGCCCCACATTTCCCCAAGCCTGCTAAGTGCATTATCACCCAGTCTATCTGGCATTATCAACCTCTCCTCATCTCACAACAACCTCGGGTTCTTAAAATACCCTCAGGTCCTGCACTCCTCTTTGTGTAGATCATTCAAAAACCCCACTATATGTTCAATGAACAGATGGCCACCAATTGTCACCTGCCAGTCACTCTAATCATGGTGAATTATGGCTGACTTTTTCTGCCTTGCTTTGATAATCACAATGTCCACATGCTTTGTGTAACCAGTGCATCCCCTGCTGCAGGAAATTTAAATGAAACCAGACAAAAGGTTTCTGATTGTAAGCATGATCTGATAATACCCATTTCCTTCAAAAACTGGAAGAAAATAAGCTGAATTCATGGTCTTTAATATTACAATAACAGTGCATTATCCTTCAAGTAGTAAGGAGGAAATTGGAAAATTATCTCTAAAATAAGCAATAATCAGCAACCTCAAACTAGCTAAATAAGCTGCCACTGAGTATCTAGTTGATCTTACATAGGGAAACTTATCTTGCACAAGGAGCTATGGTCTATTTTTATAAAAATGTGTGGCAAATTCTTCCAGCAGGAAGGAAAAAAATAACAAGCCTAAAGTAGAGCTAATGTTAAAAGCATATCCATCAAAAAATGTCTTCCTTTCATGTGCTGTACTGGAGAAATTAAGTTTGTTACACTATTGTCAACTGTATTACTCTCCCACAGTGGGAACACTTAAGTGAAGACAGCTCTCGGAAGGACCACTGGAAAGCTGTGAGAGGAGCATTATTTAACTGCACTAACAGTATGCAACTTCATGGATCTTGTGTGCAATGCTAATGCTGCTAGTTCCTTATTTCTCTTGCAAGAATCAACATAATACTATAAGGCAGTTCAACTTCATTCGAACTCCAGAAGTCCAAACAATTAACTACTACCTCATCAATGAATTTGCATCTCTGAGAAAACACAACAGATGACTTCTTTTTTAAATACTAAAACAAGTTTCCTTTTACTGATTTTTCCAAGAACTTGCTTTAATGGAAAAAGTCCTGCTATTTCCAAATGGTAATTATAAACATTCAGCCTATGTCTCCTTCACCAACTACAACCTGCAATTTCCTGCATCATTAACAGAAACTAGACATCACTCCGAAAATACAGACAAACATTACACCAAACAAATGCAAATTAAAAAACACCACCACCACGACACAAATCCTTTTTTCAGGTGTTGACTTGCTGTATTCTCAGACTGTATAATACACATACAGACTCAAAACTGTCACTGGCTCTAAAGTTAAATTCATTTTTTATGAGTGGTAGAGTGAAGTGGCAATAGGGAGGAAATGTATTTTTAAACAGAAATAAAAAATTTAACAATTGAACATTTGCACTTGCTTTGTGCTTTTATGGTACTTGGAGACATTAAAAAAAAAATTAAGTCATTTTGGGATTAATTCTACTTGTTATGCTGAGCTTTCCTTCCCATTAAAACAAAACAAAACAAAAAATCAAAGCCATTTGCAATTTTTTATTACATGAAATAGTTTATGTCAGAGCTACTAACATTTCAGAACTACATTCTGTTACATTTCAGGACAGGTAATGCTTTCCTTACATTACTCCCTGTCTCAATTTCCAGCACTACAGCCTATAGAAAACCTTGGGCTGGCAGCATCACAACTTTTAAAGAGAAAGCAGTTCAAACAACTTTCAGAAGCAAATCCCAGATTTTTTGCCAGGTGTCAGCAGCCTCTTTGGTCACCCAAGCAGGGCACCGGGCACAGCAGCAGGGCACCACTGCCTCCAGCAGCTGGGGACCTGCAGACTGGAAGCCTGACCTGGGTGCTTTTTAATTCAGCTAAATGCTGAGATTCCTCAAGTGACAGGGCACAGTCAGATCCCACCGTCCTCCTGATACATTTATGCTCCAAAGCAAGACAGTGGGATTCCTATCATCTGGTCTGGCTCTGAGACAGCACTAAAGCAGAGATGCTCAGATACACTCTGATCATCAGGCTAACTGCTCAGTTACTTTACCCACTGCATAACTGCAACAGACACTACAGAATATATGAGCTTGTTTCAGCCAAGAACTGCCAGCTCCAGGGTCACTGCTACTGCGCTGGGGGGTGGGGGGTGCGCGGGGAAAATAAACGCTACTGAGCATTCTCAGTGCTGCTCTACTGTGCCATCTTCCAAGGAGCAGGAGGTTGTTTCGTGACTAAAAGTCAAGGAAACAGGTTGAAGGTAGCAGTGCTATCCTAACAACGGAAGCCTCTTTGATCCTCAAGCATACAATATCTCACTGCAAAAGCAATACGGAGAAAGTCTGATTTGTGTGCTACTCTAATAACAGCAACCAGGTGAGAGATACTTTCAAAAGAAAAATCACTGACTGATACATTCAGTATAGTTCTCTGCTGTTTTTTCATAAATAGAATTGGCAGAGGTCTCTGGAAAACACTGCTGGCAGAGCAGTCAGCAAAGACAGAAGTCAAGTCTCCACTGAAAGCCCAGTCTGGTATTGAAAAAAACAGAAACAAATGAACAACCATTCTTGTTTGATTTCTCAAGTAGAATTACCAATGACTGAAAAAATAACCAAGCTCGGATGCTTCAAAATGCAACCTTAGCCATTTTCAGGAATCAAACACATTTTAGAAATGATTTGTTCCTTTAATTGTTCATTTGTTCAAAATACAGGGTTTTGTAGTAATTACTGCAATCTTTACAAGACCACCAGGAAGCATGAGGCAATCTTGTCTCAACGCCTCCACACAGGTAGAAGTAGGATCAACCACACGACTTAAGTTGGCATTTTAAAACTTTAAGTGGTTGACTTTGTAAATTGTTTTCCTGTTTTCATCTAACAACTGAAGGTACAAAAAGAATAAATAGGCCCAACAACACATACAACAATGCTTCAAAATAAATGAGTGAAAGTGATGGTCATTTAATTGCTTTTCAAAAACTTTACAAGCACGCCATGACAGTTTTCAGTGTAATCCATAAAAGCAGCATTTTAACAGCAGTTTTTGAAGAGAGAGTGACATTTGGGAGCTGGATATTGTACTCCTGGTTGTTAACATATCTTCTTCTTTATAATGTGTTTTATTCACTGTTTTAGCATGTCTTTGCACAGGATTATTGGTCACATTTTTTTAGCACTTATCAATTTTTAGTTTAAAAAGTTTCCTATGTCCTATGAGCATATTCTCAATATGTGGAAAATAATGGTTTAAGCATCTCTTTTCCAGCTAAACATCTCTTAAAAAGTATTTATTCAACATGAAAAAAGTTGATTGTCAAGCTCAGCATATTTCATAGCAAAATTTTAAGTTAGGCATATTGTAGCATCTCCTTATCAAAAAACTTCTGTTACCTCTGTCAGCTTCAGCAGACCCTGGCTAGCAACTGCTGGCTCAACTGCCAGCCTTGTGGTCATAGGTTTCCAAGCAGGGACACATGATGGATGAAGACATGCCAATAACATTCAAGTGTTAGGTGACTGATGATACCAAAGATGATGTAGCAGTTAACTCAGAGGGAGGCAAGACAGACACATGGTGTGACAAACAGCTGATGGTGACCTGCCAAGAGGAGTTAGTAAGCTGAATTCACTGCACCCATGTAGTTAAGAATGAGAAATCACCAGATTATCCCAAAAGTGTCTCAGAGTTCAGAGCTCTTTCCCCCCCTCTAGAGATTGTTAGCAGCTATATCAGCTTAACTACAATGCCAATTATGCACCAAGCACTGTTAATCAACCAAAGCTAAGCTTCTACATAGTAGTACGTAAGATTAACGCATATTAACATAGCTGGTTTATTCTCTCAAAACAATGTTTATGTATTAGACAACTCTGCAAAACAAAGGAGCACATAAACTCAATAAGTCCTAAACAATTCAAATTCTATCATTAGCATGGGAAATCGTTATGAGGAAACATGTATCCTACTCTAGAACAGAAAAGCTTAGCTTAGACATCAAGCTTTCTGCAGCAGAACATTGTTTCTAGTTAATGTATACTGTCTTGGTTGTATGAGATCATTTTCTGTCTCAGTGCTGTTGTAGGGGGTATAATTTGCTTAGTCTTGAAAGCACTTCACTTTTAAGTAATTTACCACAGTGTCAAGGAAACAGCACAGTCTACATCAAGTTTCAGAAAATAGTTTAGGAAGTATTTTATGGCTGCCTTATAATTGCTTTTGTAGCAAGTCAGTTTAGAACAGTCCAGAATATAAAAATCTAACTATGTCTATTTAACATGGTCACTTTCTTTTGTTTGTTGAACTCCTATTTCTTGTATGGATGATTTCACACTTCCAGAAAAAAGTCCTTGAGATCTCTGTGATGCATTAATATTTCAGTAATTACACTCATGCACTACTTCTAACCATCTTTCTCCTCCTTTATCCTCACAAAAACCTAAGAGCTATTTGGTTTTGCTTAAGTCAGGTGAGAATGGAGGAGAGAAACAAAAGTCTAAGAGCTAAACCAGCTTATAACAGTTAATAGTATTAGACAAGCATATTGATTCATGCTATAACATAAAAATTAAAACATACTGCTGGTTGCACATTTGTTTTACTTACCAGATTTGTAATCTAATTTTCTTTCCTCTTAGCTCTACTGTTTTGATTTTAAAATCAACACCTATAAATAAAATACAGTAAACAGAAAAGTAGAAATAAGAAGCAAAAGTAATGAGGGTGTAAATTATTACTATCATTTTTGGATAGGTTTTTTTTTTTTTTTAAATAAACTTTTAACAGGTTTGCAACAGGCAAGATCATCACATGGATTTGTCTACAGCTGTATAGTTTGTGAGCCACCTGATTTGGTATCATCACAACATAAACTTTCCACTTTGTGCAATAGTTCCAGCAGCAGGTGAACCCAACACAACAGTAAAACAACAGGCATGGTTGGTTGTTTCTCCCTTATTCACATTGACTGTGAAGGACAAGCCTGCTCTACTTTCAAATGGCACAGCTGCCTCGGAGGCATGAAGCAAACCCAGTCCCTCCACACCAGTCTGTGAAGTGGAGCAGTACACAACTACACCCAAGCCAGATGCTCAGTGTTTGTAAGGTGCCAGAGTGGAAGTGCTGGAATTGCAGTTGGTTTATGCAGTTTGTCAGCACCATCATTCTTCATTCTGGCAAATGTTTATGAGCAAATTGCTTCAATTTTGAACAACTTTAAAAATTCCTTTTATACCCGTATAGTACTTTCAACCATCATCTCCAAATTTCAACCAGAATTTGAATGCAAGCTAAACAGCAAAGATAGACCCACAAAGACCTTGTTATACAAAAAGACTTCAAGTCCATGAAAATAATGCTGGCAATCAACACAGAGACACAGTATGGCCAAACAATATCTAGACACAAAAGAATACCACCTCACACACAAAAATATTTCAGGGTACAAGTGTACTAGGATATCACAGTACTCATAAATTGTACACGAAAATGAGCAGGTTAACATTTGTATAAATCTTTTTGCTTCACTTCCTCCTTCTGAACACCATCCCTTCCGACAGTACCAAATCAAAAAAGCAGGGAAATAAAAAGACAAGAGAACATCATTCAGACTGGCACACTTACACCCACACAGAAGTGCAGAAGCATGCTGTGTTGGAAAGACTTTTGCCTTTTCACATACAAGTGAATACCAAGGATAGATACAAAAGTGAACACAAAGAGAAGATTTACATTTCCTCTCACAACAACTAACCATTTCCCTAATGTCTGTTGTTGGTAAAAACCTTGCAATATTCTTAGAATCTATACCAGACTGCAGTACCTATAGAAGGAACTGAATTTGCCCCTTACATCATCTGCACCAAAGTCTCATGGAACCAAAAGTACATTTCACGCTGGAAATCTAGTCTAAATATGTGGAAGGATCATTCACCTTCACTCCCCTCGACAAAATGCCTTCAAACCAATGGCTCACAGTTGTGCACTGCATAGTGATAAAAGCGTTGGTTATCACCACAACAATCCTGCTTCTCCAGGTCCCAGTCACACCTCAGCAGGGTTCACAGGCAATACAGCAACCAAAGCAACACACGTTGCAGTCTGTAATTTTAACAGCAATTTTAAAGTATTCATATGCAAATTAAGAAAAAGTATAAGAATTATTAAAGTTTCAGAACATCTATTCATTGTAGTTTTAAGAAATACCTTTAGCACTTTTGAAAAAACAGTGTTTCTGCTGTTGGTGTAAAAGTCAAAGAAAGTGAAACGGATATGCTACTGTTCTACTATCCAAAATGTGGGAAATAACAGTTCTTGTCATTACTACGTTATTAATGTTTTAATGGTTGCTTTAAAACACCAACTGTATCTACTGCTAAATGCCTTTTCTCCAAATAATTACATTTGAAGTATAACATACACTTGCCTTAACGGTCATAACTTGTCTACAACACAATAGCAACTTTATTCACAAAGGAGATCATCAATATCAATATAGTTTCAAATCTCTGCCTTCCTTAGTTTCAATATAATTGCCCCACCACCTCAAGTTCCCAGTCCTACTACTGTATGAATACAACACGCTATATCATTCATTACTCATCTGAGAACTCAGGTTTAAAAAACTAAAAAAAAAAAAAAAAAAAATCTACCTTGTCCCTCTCACTGAAATATTAATAGAATACATTATGTATGGTGCTGGCACAGGTGGATGCTGGCTTTGGTTGACCACTGCACTTGCGGAGGAGCTTGACCTGAGTATGAAGTCAGAGAGAATGCAGCTTCTGCTAAAGAAGTTGTCCTGCTGTCACACAAAAACAAGTCTATATCACCTCTGACCCAAAGCCGTGCATTGCAAACCACATGGGAATTTCATGCAAATTTCACCAAGTCCATTAGCGAAACCTTTTAGTTTTTAAGGAAGGGATTTACATACTGTCATTTCAGAAAACCAAGGAACAAAAAAGTAGGTGCGTTTTATTTTAAATACAAATAATGCACTACAGAGAAAATCCAACTGCTATAATACAGGAAATTTTCAGCTCAGGACTTCTTGTGAACGAGGCAGACCATATGTTAATGAAATCAAGTGGAAAAATGCCGACAAATTTAAAAGGATTGTTTCAGAATAAATACTACTTCCCTGTTATTCTTGGAATCGCAGAATCATTAAGGTTGGAAAAGACCACTAAGACCATCCAGTCCAGCCATCAGCCATCCCCAACATACCCCCAAACCACGTCCTTCAGTGCCACATCCATATGGTTCTTCAACACCTCCAGGGTTGGTGACCCCTCCCACCCATCTCTCTGAGCAGCCTGTGCCACTGCCCACCGCTCCTTCTGACAGGATTTTTTTCCTAATATCCAACCTTCTTATTCCAAAGGTAAACTGTTCTGTTAATAATCTTAAAGTCACAGCCTGAAACATTTACTTGCTGTTATACTTTGCAATAAACTATGCAAAATAGTAAGTTTTGGAGAGGTGGATTGTTCTATAAAACACTTTGAATCACCTAACACTTCAATCAGATAGCTTGCCAGAGCTAAAAGGTTGCTCAACCAATTTTTATAATTAGTAATGCTCTGCAAGCAACAACACAATTCCAAAAGTTTAGTGTCTGCCAACAGTGGAGGAAAAATACTGGCAACTGTTCTCTTGCAAACGAAGAAACAAATTCCAAAGCCTGTCAGGTTTCATTACTGTGTATCACCACTGACCAGTCAAAGGTTATACTTTGATTTTACATACAAATTAGTAAACCAACATTTCTTTTCCACTTCAATTTCTAACACCACCTTAAGAAAAAGTTCAATGAAATAAATAGCCTAACTAAAGTCAACAAACCAAGTTTTGCCATCCATATAACTTCTCCAGGTAGTAAAAACACGAGGAAAGCCTATCAAGGAGTCTCAGGAAGCAAATTAGGAAGCAAATGCTTCCAACTACCGCAGATAACAAATACTTGTTAGTCACACATGACAAGAGGTAGACAAGTGGATCTATCCATTCACGTAAACTGAGCATAAAGAGCAGTCTTATGTGTTCTTATAGCTATAGTTGCAGAACACTTGATTTGGACCAACTGCTGTAGTCTCCCACTCCAATTCCAAGTTTAACAAACGTGGGCATTTGTTCCATTTGCGTTCAGTCCTGCCAGAGGCTGCTGCAGTCTCGAAGCTGTGTGCTGTTCAGTGCTGTGCCTGAACATGATCAGTGACAGACAGGCCTGGCGTAACACCCTACCAGCACAGCCATACAGCACATAGCCCAGCGATGGCAGACAGTCCCTGCAAAGATGTCAGCAACAGTTAATACAAACAAGCCACCCAGGCACCTTCTGTCCCTAATTACACGAACAGCATCCAGTATGTGGCTTTATTCATTCATAGTTCAATAAAACCGAGGAATCAATAATTGCTGTTGACAACTGCATTAAATCTGAACAACACACCTTATAAAAATAAAGGATTGTAAAAGGCTCTCTCCAATGGCAAACCAAGGCTGATTTTCACATTAAATAGTTTGCATTTAAACGACTACTATGATTTTATTGACAGCAAGTTATCAAATGCACCCAGCAGAGCCAGCAGGTACACGTTTATGGTTACTCTCAAGTGTTGTGTCCTTTGCCAGGACACAGCAACAGGAGGGGAACCAGAAGGCTGGCCACCACCTTCCCTCCCTCCATGGTAATCTTACACATACCACTGGCAAGCCATGCATTCAGTTCTTCCACTATGACTACATTCAGGGCACATGTGAATCCTGGCCGTCTCCTCTGCATGAATTAAAACTGCTCATTTTGGATGTCAGATTCTGCCACGATTGTTTTTTCTCTGGCACAGCCTTTCTCAGGAATCCTAACACATATCCCACACGTCTTTAAGAGTTAATTAAAAAAAAGCACACAAACATATATCCCAAACTCAACTTTGAGTTTATGATTTGGTATCTATGAAGCATTTTGAAATACCCTGATACAGCTTGCTCTACCACCAAACTGCAGGTAAGCCTGTTCCCCCACCCCTAGCTGGAGCGATGTTGAGCAAGGCATTAAGTACAGTAGCAATTACATGGCACGCTGAAGATAATATTATTAATTCAGTACTTCTATAAGTTCTACAAAGCACACTGCTTTTGTTGTGAAAGCACGAGAGCTTTAGATTAAAAATATACTTCACGCAAACAAGAGCACCTACTTCAATGTGTACTCAACTGAAACAATAGTTTTCCAGGAAAAATAAAGGGCTACTGGACTACAAGGCAATTAGAGAGGTTTGTTTCCTTTATTTTGAAGAAGTCTATGCAACAAACAGCTAAGCAAACTGTCTGCACTCCTTTCCAAAACAAACAGCCCTAAAAGAAAGGGAACGGGCACTCAAAATAGAAGTGCACTAATGAAGTTCTAGATAAGGGCAAGTCAGCCTGAGCGACGTATCTTGTCACTGCACTAAACTGGAGGCTGTTCCAGACTGAAAACAAATCCAGTGCAAATGAAGTGTAGCCCAAAATAGGTTATAATATATAAACTACTTCTCACTCCTGTTTGCAGGAAGAAATCTACTAAAGCATACACTGAAACACATACAGCTGTGTCTGTTTTCTTTCTGTAAAATAATTTGTCTAGAAATAAAACGCATTGGGAAGAAGCTTCTTACTCCTCAT